CGGATGTGTTGAGCGTACAGATACATGGACAAGCCGTGAAGGTCAAGCCCCAGGTGCTTGAGTCTTAATAAACGGGAAAGGCGGTTTCTGGCGGTTTTTGAAGATGGGGTCATAGAGGGCAGCTTGTTTTCTGTTTCGATGGGACAAGCACACCTGTGGCCGTGGTTGCGGTCACAGGTGCCACTTTCTGCATTTGTATAAAGCAGGTGAACCATTTAATCTGGTGCAATTAAATTACTGATTTTGGTCTGTTTGGTAGCTGTCAAGATCAAGAAAAATAAGGATAATGTGAAGTTCAAAGTCCGGTGCAGCAGATACCTGTATACCTTGGTCATCACGGACAAGGAGAAGGCCGAGAAGCTGAAGCAGTCCCTGCCCCCGGGTGAGTGAGCGGATTTCTGGGCAGGCGCGCAGGCTGGGCCGTGCACGTATCGCCGTCCTGTTCGCGAGTTGTGCCCAAGGAGAGGCAGGTCCGTTTTGTGGTCTAAGCATCTGCTCTTGCCCCTGTCGTGCAAGCGTGGTGATCGCGGACATGGCTCAGGCCGAGGCGGATTTGTTTCCCTCGTTCCTGCTTTTCTCGTGCAGAATAGTAACCGCTCACACTTACTCTGCCTCAGTTCACCCCACCAGGCAGACACTGGTTGTGAGGAAACTGATTAAGTACCGTAGGCCGTGAGCATGTGTTAAACATAGGTCCGTCCTGGGGTGGAGGAAGCTGCCCGGGGAGCACCGAGCAGCTCTAGAGGCTGCCTGTCCACCCTGAAAGTTAGCCGGTACTGAGCTCGGCCGTGTGGGAGCACGCCGGGCCCCTTTATAAAGGCTGACAGGCTTTTTTTAAATCAAACACTAAATATTTTATGCAAAACCTCCCTGGTGGGCTTAATGTCTGAGCTTTGTGAGCCTTCTTGGCTTAAGAATAAACCCAGACAAGCAGCGTGACTCTGTCTTCTGATGCCTCGCGTTTGCCTCTCTCGCTCTAGGTTTGGCAGTGAAGGAGCTGAAGTGAACCCGACATGCTGATCTGTATTAAAACGTTAAAAATCTTCTCGTGTGTCTTGTCTTTGAAGGCCGGAAGGGAAATGTCACGGGTTGCTAGACTCCCGTGGGGCTGGGCTGGGGGTCCTGGTGGCAGCCTCGTTGCGTCCCTAATCTTGGGCTCTGGTCCCAATGGACAGAGAAAGCTGTTTTGTTTGAGCCTAAGTTTGAACATCAGTAGATGACATAGGCAGAAGAGCCGGATGTTTGTGGAAATGAGCCAGCATCACTCAAGATTTAAAGTCACTTAGATAAAAGGAGCTCCCTGCTAATGAAAAGGCTGGTGGAGAGGAGGAGTTGATTAGCCTTGGAAATGGCTGCAAGCAAAGACAATTGTATGGCAATTGTCCTTGGAATGTAGCCCCACTTTCATGACTATGTCCTCCGCCAGCCACAGCCCCTGTGGCAGGAGGGGAGTGTAATACTGAGAAACTGGGAACCTCAGGAGCAGGACGCTGCAGGAAGTGAACGCAGGTGCGAGGGCAATTTGGAGCCGGGCTCAGGGAACCTTAAAGCTGAGGACTTGAGTGTGTGTGAGCCCAGCAGAGGAGCCGGGCCTCCAGGCGTGGGGCAGAGATGGAGTTCACGGGGCTGGTGGGTGTGTGGATGGGCCAAATCCCAGCATGAACAGCTGTTTAGGTCCAGCCAGGCCTGACTCTGATTAAATCCTGGTTCTGCCCTTTGCCCACCTGCTTGTCAGCTCTGAGCGCCCTGAAGAGCGTGCTCACAGTTTGGAGCGAGGCTGCTCCCCCGTGAGGTGACAGGCCAGCACAGGCTGGGGCTCCTAGACCCTTGGCAGGGACGTGTCCCAATATTGCCTCGCTTTCCAAATTGTATGGCACATGCCCATACTAGAACTTAGTGTTTTGTTGTAAGGGTTAAATTAGGTGCTGGTGAGGATTTAGAAGCGCTCTTGGAAATTTGGGAGATGGAGGTGGTGGTCGTGTCAGCATTGACCACAAGGTGGAGACATACTCCAACAGATAAACCCTTGACCAGGCCAGTCTGGAAATGGTTTGCAAGTAGCTAAGAGCCTGAGGCTTGATTTTTCCGTAAGTTTTCCGGGTGTTTGGGTCCTGAGGAACATGGCTTCTGTTCCTTCCAAGTGCTCAGTGACCAGTAGCCCCAGGCCACTTTCAGTGGCTTCAGTCCTCCCCATCCTTTTAACATCCCTGCCCAGGAGGGAGGGTGTGCCGCTCTGGCTCCCTGTGTCCGGCACATTGTCCAGAGACTAGCCCTGGCTCCTAGGAGACTAGCCCTCCGTGCCCACACACGGCAGCCTTTAGTGCTCAGCTCTCAGCTCTGGCTTGTGCCTTGCAGTCACGGGGCCCAGCTGATCCCACAGATGAAGCTGGTTTGAGGCACAGGCATGGGTTAGGCCTTCAGGGGCTGGTGCCAGCCACCGCCCTGCTGGCGTCAGCTCTCCACTTGGGAGGGCTTGTCCTGGCTGTGCCCGGCAGGCCTCACTTCATCTCCCCAGGAGGCCTGTGTGCTCAGCTTCTGCTTCATTGGCTCACCTTTCCGAGCCGCTGGCCTCCAGGGATGCAGCCAGAACACTCCAGCTGGGCGCAGACTGGCCAAGCAGGTTTGGGTATCCCACTGTGCCCATCACTGCTGCTGGCCCCGAGGGAGCTTTTGCAGTTGCTGTCCTCAGTGGGTGAGCAGGCCTTCCCCTTCCCCTACCCACTCTCGGGCCCAATCCCAGCTCTGGAAAGGCTGCCGTACACCCGTTCAAGGTCAATCCTAAAGGCAAGACACCCTGCCACTCCCCAGGAGACAGCCCCGTTCCCTCCTGACTTGCAGGCCCTTTGGGAGGCTGCAGCTGTCCCCTCCGTGCTGTTGACACGGAGGAAGGGGAGCCAGCCTGTGAGAGATGCCCCCTGAGGCCGCCACAACTGCTCCAAGCCCATCCTCTGCAGCCTGCAGTGGCCGCTTCAAAGACCAAAACCCTTACCATGTGTGTGTGCTCTGCCTCCTGCCTACCTCTATGTAAAAGTACAGGTCCTGGCCCGGTAGCTCCGTTGGTTAGAGTGTTGTCCCGACATGCCAGGGTTGCAGGTTCAATCTCTGGTCAGGGCACATATAAGAAGCAACCAATGAAGGTAGAACAACAAATTGATGTTTCTCTCCCTCTCTCTAAAATCAATAAATAAAAAATAAGTGAAAATATATATAGGTCTTCATTCTTACGAAGGCATTTATTTTAAAGTAAGGCTTATTGGGTGTAACTTACAGTGACTCACCCTTTTTGGTGTGCAGTTCGGTGGATGTTGACATTTAAAGTGTTACTGCCACTGCAATCAAGTGTTTCTGTCACCCCTAAGGGCCCTCTTGCACCCCCGCCGCTGACCTGTTCTCTGCAGTTTTCCAGTCTTTCCTCCCTGTCACTCCCCTGACTCGGTTTGCACTTGCCCAGCGTGGTCCCTGACCTCATATCATAGTCACTGCCCCTCTGCTCTGAATCCTCCCTGAGTTGCCTCCTCTCCGTCATCCTTCAGCTCTCACCTCATCTCATTCTCCAGGAAACATCCTGGACCACCCTCCCTCCCCCCAGACTCCATCCCCCTCTTACAACAGAGCCCACGTGGATCAAAGGCTGCCCACTCACCTATTAGATTCAGACCCTGTGCAAACAGGAACCTGTGTTTTATTCATCACTGTGTCCCCTGGAACAGAGGGTGCTCCATCCACATTTCTTGAATGAAAGAAAACCCCTGTGAGAGAAGCTTGGTCTCCAACCTTCTGTGCCCCAGCTCTGGGCATGCGCAGATGAGATGGACCAGCCATGTTCCTGGAAAACCGACACAGACAACCAGGAGAGGCCAGGACACAGGACTCCTTCCCGTGGCCTCTGTGGGGCCGCTGTGGACTGTCCACGGGTGTTTGCAGACCCCCATCCACCTAGTTCCTGGAGCCAGGAACCTGGGAGTTTGCCCCAGTCGCTACTGCCTGTAGGCAGGCTGCCAGGGCCCAAGCCCCATCCCTTCCGGACCCCTTCCACTCCCATCTCCCCAACCCCAGGCTGCCCTCCACCTGCCGGCCCAGCGTCCTCCGGTCACGCCACGCTGTTTTCAGGTGCAGAACCGAGGCCCTCTGCTGCCTGGGGCCTCTGTTGACCCTCAACTCCAGGGAAGCGACTCCGAGGCTATCAGGTCTGCGGCTGCCTCCACGGTCCTGACCCTGCTCCGCCTTTGCTTTTCTCCAAAGCACCCCTAACGTCGCTGCGTGCGTCTTTGCGCGTGGATTGTTGCCATCCGCCCACTGAGATGCAGACCCTCCGAGGGGGGTTTCTGTCAGCTTCTGTTCAGGACCGAACAGTGCCGGCACACAGTAGGTGCTCAGTAAACGTGTGCTGCTGGTGGCTTCCCCTCCCCTCCTCTCCTCTCCTCTCCACTCCCCTGAGGAAGGCCCTCCCTCCAGGAGGCCCTCCCAGTCCCGCCTGCTGGGAAGAATCACGTGGCATTCCTCAGTCCCTAGTGCACCCCAGGGGACAACTACTAAGTGTTGCCCCCTTCTGTCCCCAATCTGTCAGTTCACCACCCCCAAAAGCCCTAAAACGGCCGGCCTCGCCTCCAGTGCCACGACCGCTAGCTGCACCCATTGACACCTTATAGTAGGGTATAAGGCTTCTACCCTAGATTGGACAGTAAGTAATGAGAAGCGGGGACTTAGGGAGTAACTAGGAAGAAACAGACTTAGGAGCGTTTGGGGGCTGTTTTCACTCCTTCCACCTTTTTCCGCCTCGGCCAGGACAGATCCCAGATCACAAAAGAGTTCTTGGGCGGGACGCCCTGCAGGAAAGCGGACGCACAGAGGGCGGGGCCAGGACTGGGGCGGGGCCGGGATCGGGGC